CATATCCTCCCATATCCCCCCTATATCCCATATATCACCCCCTATACCCCCCATATCCCCCCTATATCACCCCATATCCCCCCACACCTCACCCGTGTCCTTCTTCTTCTCATGGTAGGTGTAAACGGCCCCGGCCGTGCAGTTCTTGCCGTGCCGCGTCATAGCGGCCTCGGGGGGGCGCCGAACGGACCCGAGTGCGCCCGAAGGGACCCGAGTGCTTCCGAAGGGACCCGAGTGCGCCCGAAGGGACCCGAGTGCGCCCGAAGGGACCCGAGTGCGCCCGAAGGGACCTGCAGGGGGAGCCCCAAAGCGGTCGGAGGGGCCCGAGGGGTCCCGAACGCTCCCGAGGGGTTCCGAATGGGGGGGTCGGGGGGTCCCGAATGGGTTCGGGGGGTCCCGAGTGAGGGGTCCGAAAAGGGGGGTTCAGGGGGTCCCGAATAGGTTCGGGGGGTCCCGAGTGAAGGGTCCGAAAAGGGGGGTTCAGGGGGTCCCGAATGGGTTCAGAGGGTCCCGAATGGGGGGGTCGGGGGGGTCCGAAAAGGGGGGTTCAGGGGGTCCCGAATGGGTTCGGAGGGTCCCGAATGGGGGGGTCGGGGGGGTCCGAAAGGGGGGTTCAGGGGGTCCCGAATGGGTTCGGAGGGTCCCGAATGGGGGGGTCGGGGGGTCCCGAATGGGTTCGGAGGGTCCCGAATGGGGGGGTCGGGGGGTTCCGAATGGGTTCAGAGGGTCCCGAATGGGGGGGTCGGGGGGGTCCGAAAGGGGGGTTCAGGGGGTCCCGAATGGGTTCGGAGGGTCCCGAATGAGGGGGTCGGGGGGTCCCGAATGGGGGGTCCGAAAAGGGGGGTTCAGGGGCTCCCGAAGGGGTTCGGGGGGTTCCGAATGGATTCAGAGGGTCCCGAAAGGGGGGACCGAAAAGGGGGGTTCGGGGGGTCCGAAACGGGGGTTCGGGGGGTTCCGAAACGGGGGTCCCGAATGGGTTCGGAGGGTTCCGAAAGGGGGGTTCGGGGTGCCCCAAACGGGCTCAGAAGGTCCCGAACGGGTTCGGAGGGTCCCGAATGGTTCCGAACGCTCCCGAGGGGTTCCGAAGGGTCCCGAGAAAGTTCGGAGGGTGCCGAGGAGGCCCGAATGGGTTCGGAGGGTCCCGAATGGGATCGAAGGGTTCTGAGGGGTCCCGATGGGTCCCAAAAGGGTCCCGAAAGAGATTCGGGGTGTTCCGAATGGGTCCGGAAGGTCCCGAATGGGGATAGGGGGGTCCCGAAGGGGTCCGTAAGGTCCCGAAGGGTCCCGAGAGGGTTCGGAGGGTCCCGAGGAGGTCCCGACCGGTCCCGAAGGGGTTCGGAAGGTCCCGAAAGGCCCCGACTGGTACCGAAGGGTCCCGAATGGGTCCGGAAGGTCCCGAAGGGTTTCGGAAGGTCCCGAAAGGGGGTCGGGGGGGGTCCCGAAGGGGTTCGGAAGGTCCCGAAGGGTCCCGACCGGTTCTGAAGGGTCCCGAAGGGGTTCGGAAGGTCCCGAAAGGGGGTCGGGGGGGGGGTCCCGAAGGGGTTCGGAAGGTCCCGAAGGGGTCCGAGAGGGTTCGAAAGGTCCCGAACGGTACCGGAAGGTCCCCGAAGGGGTTCGGAAGGTCCCGATGGGCCCCGAACGGTACCGAAGGGGTCCGGAAGGTCCCGAAGGGGTTCGGAAGGGTTCGGAGGGTACCGAGGAGGACTCGACCGGTACCGAAAGGTCCCGAAGGGCTCCGGAAGGTCCCGAACGGGTTCGGTTGTCCCCGGGCCCGGCACCTCCGTCCCCCGCCGCACCGGAAACCCAAGTACCGCGACCGGAACCGGGTTCTTTACCGGAAGTGCAACGCTGAAAAGAGACCGCCCCCCCTTTTCCTCCTCCTCCCAGCCCCGCCCCAACCGGAAGTCGCCTTGAGGCGGTGCCGGGTGCAGCAGCGATAAAGGTCCGGGTGCTCCCCGCCCACCGCCTTGTTTGGCCCCGCCCCTTTTCCCCCCTCCCTTGGCCACGCCCCCCCGCCTTGGCTCCTCCCACTCCCCGCGCTCCCGCCACTGCCTTGGCCCCGCCCAACCCCCATTGGCTCCTCCCCTTTCCCCCCTTCCTTCATCGTCATTGGCTCCTCCCAATCCCGAGCTCCCGCCACCGCCTGGCTCCGCCCACCCCCCTCCTCCTCCTCATTGGCTCATCCCAATCCCCCGCCCCAGCCTGGCCCCGCCCACCCCCCCTCATTGGCTCCTCCCTTCCCCCCCCCTTTCCTCCTCCTTGGCTCCTCCCACTCCCGCGCTCCCAACCCCTCCTGGCCCCGCCCACTTCCCCCCTCCCTCCTCCTCATTGGCTCCTCCCACTCCCGCATTCCCGCCACCTCCTGGCCCCGCCCCTTCTCTCTCCCTCCTCCTCATTGGCTCCTCATCTTCCCCCCCCCACCCCCTTCCCCCTCATTGGCTATTCCCATTCCCCTTCCTCTCCTCTCCCTCATTGGCTCCTCCCACTCCCGCTCTCCCGGCTCCGCCCACCCCCTCCCTTCCCTCCTCCTCATTGGCTCCTCCCCTTCACTTTCCCTCCTCATTGGCTCCTCCCACTCCCGCTCTCCCGCCACCGCCCGGCCCCGCCCACCCCCTGCCTCCCTCCCTCCTCATTGGCTCCTCCCACTCCCGCTCTCCCGCCACCGCCCGGCCCCGCCTACCTCCTCCCTCCCTCGTCCTCATTGGCTCCTCCCTTTCCCTCCTCTCCCTCCTCCTTGGCTCCTCCCACTCCCGTTCTCCTCGCTCCTCCCACCAGCTCCCTCCTCTCCCTCCTCATTGGCTCCTCCCCTTCCCTTTCCCTCCTCTCCCTCCTCATTGGCTCCTCCCACTCCCGCTCTCCCGGCTCCTCCCCTTTCCCCCCTCCTCTCCCTCCCCATTGGCTCCTCCCTTTCCCCTCCTCTCCCTCCCCATTGGCTCCTCCCTTTCCCCTCCTCTCCTCCCTTTCCCCTCCTCTCCACTTCTCGATCTCCCGGCTCCTCCCCTTTCCCCTCCTCTCCCTTCTCATTGGCTCCTCCCCTTTCCCCCCTCCTCTCCCTCCCCATTGGCTCCTCCCCGTCCCGCTCTCGCGGTGCATTGTGGGCGGAAGCGGCGCGCGCGGCCCCCTCCAACATGGCGGCCCCGTGAGCGCTTCCTTTCCCCCCCCCTCCCCTCCCCCTTCGCGGCCGCTCCCGCCGCCGCCTTCCCCCCTCCCCTCCCCCTTTCCGGTTCCAACCGGTACCGACGACCCCCCCCCCCCACCCCCCCTCCCCCCCCCACCCACCCACCCTCCCCCCACCCCCGCCCCCATGGACCGGAACTACCCCGCGGCCGGGTTCGGGGACCCCTTGGGGGCTGGGCCCGGGTGGAGCTACGAGCGCTCGGCCAAGGCCAGGTGAGGGGGGAGGGGGGGCGCGAGCGGGTGCAATGGGTGCTGGGTGCAATGGGTGCAATGGGTGCTGGTCACATTGGGTGCTGGGGACCGGTTACATTGGGTGCTGGTTACATTGGGTGCTGGGGACCGGTTACATTGGGTGCAATGGGTGCAGGTTACATTGGGTGTAATGGGTGCTGGTTACATTGGGTGCTGGGGACCGGTTACATTGGGTGCTGGTTACATTGGGTGCTGGTTACATTGGGTGCAGTGGGTGCTGGTTACATTGGGTGGTGGTTACATTGAGTGCTGGTTACATTGGGTGCTGGGTGCAATGGGTGCTGGGGACCAGTTACATTGGGTGCTGGTTACATTGGGTGCTGGGTGCAATGGGTGCTGGTTACATTGGGTGCAATGGGTGCTGGTTACATTGGGTGCTGGGTGCAATGGGTGCAGGTTACATTGGGTGCTGGGTGCTGGGGACCGGTTACATTGGGTGCTGGGTGCAATGGGTGCTGGTTACATTGGGTGCTGGGTGCAATGGGTGCTGGTTACATTGGGTGCTGGGGACCAGTTACATTGGGTGCAATGGGTGCTGGTTACATTGGGTGCTGGGGACCGGTTACATTGGGTGCTGGATGCAGGGTGCTGGGTGCAATGGGTGCTGGTTACATTGGGTGCTGGTTACATTGGGTGCTGGTTACATTGGGTGCAATGGGTGCTGGTTACATTGGGTGCTGGGTGCACTGGGTGCTGGTAATACTGGGTGCTGGGTGCAGGTTACATTGGGTGCTGGGTGCAGGTTACATTGGGTGCTGGGTGATGGGTGCAGTGGGTGCTGGGTGCAATGGGTGCTGGTTACATTGGGTGCTGGGGACCAGTTACATTGGGTGCTGGGTGCTGGTTACATTGGGTGCTGGGTGCAATGGGTGCTGGGTGCAATGGGTGCAGGTTACATTGGGTGCTGGGTGATGGGTGCAATGGGTGCTCGGTGCTGGTTACATTGGGTGCTGGGTGCAATGGGTGCTGGTAATATTGGGTGCTGGGTGCAGGTTACATTGGGTGCTGGGGACCGGTTACATTGGGTGCTGGGTGATGGGTGCAGTGGGTGCTGGGTGCAGGGTGCAATGGGTGCTGGGTGCTGGGTGCAGTGGGTGCTGGGTGATGGGTGCAGGTTACATTGGGTGCAATGGGTGCTCGGTGCAGGTTACATTGGGTGCTGGGTGCTGGGTGCAGGGTGCTGGGTGCAGGGTGCAGTGGGTGCTGGGTGCAATGGGTGATGGGTGATGGGTGCAGGTTGCATTGGGTGCTGGGGACCAGTTACATTGGGTGCTGGGTGCAGGTTGCATTGGGTGCTGGGTGCAGGTTACATTGGGTGCTGGGTGCAGGTTACGTTAGGTGCTGGGTGCTGGTAACATAGGGTGCTGGGTGCAGGTTACATTGGGTGCTGGGTGCAGGTTACATTGGGTGCTGGGTGCTGGTAACATTGGGTGTTGGGTGCAGGTTCCATTGGGTGCTGGTAACATTGGGTGCTGGGTGCTGGGAACTGGTTACATTGGGTGCTGGGTGCAGGTTGCATTGGGTGCTCTGTACCGGTTGCATTGGGTGCTCGGTGCTGGGAACCGGTTGCAATGTGTGTTGGGTGCAGTTTACTTTGGGTGCTGGGTGCTGGTAACATTGGGTGCTGGGTGCAGGTTACATTGGGTGCTGGTGCTGGGTACCAGGATCCAATTGCGTTAGATGCTGGGGACCAGTTGCAATGGGTGCTGGGGACCAGTTACATTGGGTGTTGGGTGCAATGGGTTCTGGGGACATGGGTGCTGGGGACCGGTTGTATTGGGTGCTGGGGACCAGTTACATTGGGTGCTGGGGACTGGGATCCCGTTGCAATGGGTGCTGGGTACCCGTTGCATTGGGTGCTGAGGACATGGGTGCTGGGGACCGGTTGCATTGGGTGCTGGGTGCTGGTTACATTGTGTGCTGGTTGCAATGGGTGTTGGTGCTGGGTACCAGGATCCAGTTGCAATGGGTGCTGGGTATCCTTTGCATTGGGTGCTGGGGACCGGTTACATTGGGTGCTGGGTGCTGGTTCCAATGGGTGCTGAGTGCTAGGTACCGGTTGCATTGGGTGCTGGATACCCATTGCATTGGGTGCTGGGGACTGGTTGCATTGGGTGCTGGATTTGCATTGGGTGCTGGATTTGCATTGGGTGCTGGATACCCATTGCATTGGGTGCTGGGTACTGGTTGCATTGGGTGCGGGGGACCAGTTACATTGTGTGCTGGGTACCGGTTACATTGGGTGCTGGGGACCAGTTGCATTGGGTGCTGGGTGCTGGGTACCGGTTACATTGGGTGCTGGGGACCAGTTGCACTGGGTGCTGGTGCTGGGTAGCGGGGTGCTGGGTTCTGGTTCCATTGGGTGCTGGTCTGTGGGGTGCTGGGTGCTGCGGTGTTGGTTCCATTGGGTGCTGGGGACCAGTTGCACTGGATGCTGGTCTATGGGGTGCTGGGTGCTGTGGTGCTGGTTCCATTGGGTGCTGGGGACCAGTTGCACTGGGTGCTGGTCTATGGGGTGCTGTGGTGCTGGTTCCATTTGGTGCTGGGGACCGGTTGCACTGGGTGCTGGTGCTGGGTAGTGGGGTGCTGGGTGCTGGTTCCATTGGGTGCTGGGGACCAGTTGCACTGGATGCTGGTCTATGGGTAGCAGGGTGCTGTGGTGCTGGTTCCATTGGGTGCTGGAGACCGGTTGCACTGGGTGCTGGTCTATGGGGTGCTGGGTGCTGTGGTGCTGGTTCCATTGGGTGCTGGGGACGGGTTGCACTGGGTGCTGGTCTATGGGGTGCTGGGTGCTGTGGTGCTGGTTCCATTGGGTGCTGGGTGCTGGTTCCATTGGGTGCTGGGGACCAGTTGCACTGGATGCTGGTCTATGGGGTGCTGGGTGCTGTGGTGCTGGTTCCATTGGGTGCTGGGTACCGGTTGCACTGGGTGCTGGTCTATGGGGTGCTGGGTGCTGTGGTGCTGGTTCCATTGGGTGCTGGGGACCGGTTGCACTGGGTGCTGGTCTATGGGGTGCTGGGTGCTGTGGTGCTGGTTCCATTGGGTGCTGGGGACCGGTTGCACTGGGTGCTGGTCTATGGGGTGCTGGGTGCTGCGGTGCTGGTTCCATTGGGTGCTGGGGACGGGTTGCACTGGGTGCTGGTCTATGGGGTGCTGGGTGCTGCGGTGCTGGTTCCATTGGGTGCTGGGGACCGGTTGCACTCGGTGCTGGTCTCTGGGGTGCTGGGTGCTGCGGTGCTGGCTGCTCCATGTACCGGGTGCTGGGGTGCAGGGAGCGCATTGCAGCAAGGGTTGGGTGCCATTGGGGTGCTGGGGTCCTATTGCAATGGGTGCAGAGGGGTGCTGGGGTCCCAATGCAGTCAGTGGGTGCCTGGGTCCCATTGTAATGGGTGCAGAGAGTTGGGTGCTGGTGTAGCATTGCAATGGGTGCAGAAGGGTGCTCAGTTCCCATTGCAATGGGTGCTGAGGGTTGGATGCCATTAGGGATTGGGTGCAATGGATGGGGGGGTCCCATTGCTATGAATGGGGGGGTCCCATTGCTATGAATGGGGGTTCCCATTGCTATGAATGGGGGGGTCCCATTGCTATGAATGGGGGTTCCCATTGCTATGAATGGGGGGTTCCCATTGTTATGAATGGGGGGGTCCCATTGCTATGGATGGGGGGGTCCCATTGTTATGGATGGGGGGGGTCCATTGCTATGAATGGGGAGTCCCATTGGTATGAATGGGTTGGCCCCATTGCTATGAATGGGGGGGTCCCATTGGTATGAAGGGGGGGGGTCACATTGCTATGAATGGGGGTTCCCATTGCTATGAATGGGGGGTCCCATTGGTATGAATGGGGGGGTCCCATTGGTATGAATGGGGGGGGATCCCATTGCTATGGATGGGGGGGTCCCATTGCTATGAATGGGGGGGGATCCCATTGGTATGAATGAGGGGGTCCCATTGTTATGAATGGGGGGGTCCCATTGCTATGAATGGGGGGTCCCATTGTTATGGATGGGGGTTCCCATTGCTATGAATGGGGGGTTCCCATTGCTATGAATGGGGGGGTCCCATTGCTATGAATGGGGGGGTCCCATTGCTATGAATGGGGGGTCCCATTGCTATGAATGGGGGGGGGTCACATTGCTATGAATGGGGGGATCCCATTACTATGAATGGGGGTTCCCATTGCTATGAATGGGGGGGTCCCATTGTTATGGATGGGGGGATCCCATTGATATGAATGGGGGGTCACATTGCTATGAATGGGGGTTCCCATTGCTGCATATGGGGGGGTCCCATTGCTGTATATGGGGGTTCCCATTGCTATGAATGGGGGGGTCCCATTACTATGAATGGGGGGTCCCATTGGTATGGATGGGGGGGTCCCATGGCAATGGATGGGGGGGGTCCCATTGCTATGAATGGGGGGGTCCCATTACTATGAATGGGGGGTCCCATTGGTATGGATGGGGGGGTCCCATTGCTATGAATGGGGGTTCCCATTGCTCTGTATGGGGGGTCCCATAGCTATGAATGGGGGGTCCCATGGCATGGATGGGGGGGGTCCCATTGCTATGAATGGGGGGGTCCCATTGCTGCGTATGGGGGGTCCCATAGCTATGAATGGGGGGTCCCATTGGTATGGATGGGGGGGTCCCATAGCTATGAATGGGGGTTCCCATTGCTCTGTATGGGTGGTCCCATAGCTATGAATGGGGGATTCCCATTGCTCTGTATGGGTGGTCCCATAGCTATGAATGGGGATTCCCATTGCTCTGTATGGGTGGTCCCATAGCTATGAATGGGGGTGTCCCATGTCAATGGGTGCCCCCCAGCTCTGACCCTGCCCCTATTCCCCCCCCCCCAGCCTCGTGTACGGGGGGTCCCGGGCGCCGCACGCGGAGCCGGAGCTGCTCCCCCGGCAGCCGTACGGAGCCCCCCACCCGCTGCAGGGCTACGGCCCCAACCATCACCCCACAGGTACCCCCCCCCCATGGCCCCCCGGTGTTCCCATTGCATCCCCGTATCCCCGTGTGCTGTGTCCCCATAACCCCCACCCCATATATCCCATAGCCCATAGACCTTATACGGCACCCTCTATGTTCTATATAGCCCATATCCCGTGTTCCTCATATCCCATATATCCCATATTCCATATCCCATGTACCCCAAATCCCATATTCTGCATCCCATATACCTCATATCCCATATTCCATATCCCATATACCTCATATCCCATATTCTGCATCCCATATACCTCATATCCCATGTTCCATATCCCATATACCTCATATCCCATATTCCATATCCCATGTACCCCATATCCCATATTCTGCATCCCATATACCTCATATCCCATATTCCATATCCCATATACCCCATATCCCATATTCTGCATCCCATATACCTCATATACCATTCTGTGTATCCCATATTCCATATCCTATATACCCCATATCTCTCATATCCCATACTGTATATCCCATCTCCCATATTCCATATCCCATATACTCCATATCCCATATACTCCATATCCCATATACTCCATATCCCATATATCCCATATCCCATATACCCCATATCCCATATTTTGCATACCCCACTGTAACCCATATCCCATATCCATATCCCATACCCATATCCCATATCCCATATATCCCATATACCCCATATCCCATATACTCCATATCCCATATTCTATATCTCATATACTTCGTATCCCATATCCTATATTCCATATCCTATATACTCCATATCCCTTACTTTCATGCCATATTACATGTGTTGTGTATGGCAAACCCCATGTTTCATATCTCATGGGCTCTCTATCCCATACTTTACGTCCCAGATTCCATATCCCATATATACCATATCCCATATATCCCATACTTTATATATTCATATGTTATTACCCTGTATATACCATGTATTATTCCATGTTTTACACGCTATATAACTCATATTTTATGTCTTATATTTGATGTTTTATATATGCTCTATTCATGTATCCTATACTTTATATTCCGTATTGCATATCCCATATATTCCATCTGTTATATATGCCATATCACATGTATTTCATATTCCATACATCCCATACCTCACATCCCATATACCCCATGCCCCATATCCTGTTTCTCATATCCCATATAAACCATACCTGATATTCTATATTTCATATCCCATATACCCCATATCCCTGTATCCTCCCATCCATTTCTATATCCCACTGCTATATCCCATATCCCATACCCTATATGCCATATTGCACTCCTATATCCCCTATCCCACTTCTATATCCCATATCCCATACCGTATATGCCATATCCCACTCATATATCCCATATCCCATACCCTATATGCCATATCCCACTCCTATATCCCATATCCCATACCCTATATCCTGTATCCCATATCCCATACCCCATATCCCATATCCCATATCCCATATATCCCATATCCCATATCCCATATCCCATATCCCATACCCCATACCCCATATCCCATACCCCATATCCCATACCCCATACCCCATATCCCATACCCCATACCCCATATCCCATATCCCATACCCCATATCCCATACCCCATACCCCATATCCCATATCCAATACCCCATATCCCATACCCCGTATCCCATACCCCATACCCCATATCCCATATCCCCATACCCCATATCCCATACCCCATATCCCATACCCCATATACCCCACATCCCATACCCCATATCCCATACCCCATACACCATATCCCATACCCCACATCCCATACCCCATATCCCATACCCCATATCCCATATCCCATACCCCATACCCCATACCCCATATACCCCATACCCCATACCCCATATCCCATACCCCATACCCCACACCCCATATCCCATACCCCATACCCCATATCCCATACCCCACACCCCATATCCCATACCCCATATCCCATACCCCATATCCCATACCCCACACCCCACACCCCATATCCCATACCCCATACCCCACACCCCATATCCCATACCCCATACCCCACACCCCATATCCCATAATACCCCATAACACCCCGTACCCCATAACCCCCCCTATATCCGCCCCCCACATCGCCCCACTGGCACTCACCCACAACGTGAGCAGCAGGTTTGTCCCCATAGGGCTCATGCCCCAGCTTGGGGCCTGCTGTAGGGAGAAAGGGAATACGGGATATTATGGGATGTTACGGGATATTATGGGATGTTATGGGGTATTATGGGATGTTATGGGGTATTATGGGATGTTATGGGGTATTATGGGATGTTAGGGGGTATGGGAATTGTCTCTCACCCATCAATGGGGGCATCGGCAGCTCTGGGGATTCCTGTGGGGAGAGAGGGGTCAATGGGAGAGAGGGACCCAGGGATACAGGGATGGAGACAGGGATATAGGGATGGAGACAGGGATATAGGGATGGAGACAGGGATATAGGGATGGAGACAGGGACGGATACAGGGATACAGGGATGGAGACAGGGATACAGGGATGGAGACAGGGATATAGGGATATAGGGATGGAGACAGGGATGGAGACAGGGATACAGGAATGGAGACAGGGATACAGGGATGGAGACAGGGATATAGGGATGGAGACAGGGATATGGGGATATAGGGATGGAGACAGGGATACAGGGATGGAGACAGGGATACAGGGATGGAGACAGGGATATAGGGATATAGGGATGGAGACAGGGATACAGGGATACAGGAATGGAGACAGGGATACAGGGATGGAGACAGGGATATAGGGATGGAGACAGGGATGGAGACAGGGATACAGGGATATAGGGATGGAGACAGGGATACAGGGATACAGGGATACAGGGATACAGGGATATAGGGATGGAGACAGGGATACAGGGATGGAGACAGGGACGGATACAGGGATACAGGGATGGAGACAGGGATATAGGGATGGAGACAGGGATGGAGACAGGGATACAGGGATGGAGACAGGGATACAGGGATGGAGACAGGGATGGAGACAGGGATATAGGGATGGAGACAGGCAGGTATGGACACACATGGATACAAGGACGCACATGGATGGACACATGGTTGGTACCAGGGATGGACACACGTGGATACATGGATACACATGGACACACATGGATACACATGGACACACATGGATGCATGGACACACGTGGATACATGGATACACATGGACACACATGGATGCATGGACACATGTGAATACATGGATACACATGGACACACATGGATACACATGGACACACATGGATACATGGACACACATGGATACATGGACACATGTGGATACATGGATACACATGGACACACATGGATCACACACATGGATCACACACATGGATACACATGGACACACGTGGATACATGGATACACATGGATACACATGGATGCATGGACACATGTGAATACATGGATACACATGGATGCATGGATTCATGGATACAGAACACGTGGATGCACATGAACACACATGGATACATGGATACAGGACACATGGATACATGGATACACATGGATACACATGGATCACACACATGATCCCACATGATCCCATGTGATCCCGCACACATGATCTCACATTATCCCACACAGATCCCACATGATCCCCCCCCATCCCACATGGTCCCACATGATCCCACACAGATCCCATGTGCTCCCACATAGATCCCATGTGATCCCATCTGATCCCACGCACATGATCCCACACAGATCCCACATGATCCCACACAGATCCCATGTGCTCCCACATGATCCCACACGATTCCCCCCCGTGATCCCACATAGATCCCACACGATCCCACACAGATCCCATGTGATCCCACGTGATCCCACACATGGGTCCCACACAGATCCCACATGATCCCACGTGATCCCCCCCTCATCCCACATAGATCCCACATGATCCCACACAGATCCCATGTGATCCCACGTGATCCCACGCACATGATCCCACATAGATCCCACATGATCCCACACAGATCCCAGGTGATCCCATCTGATCCCACGCACATGATCCCACATAGATCCCATGTGATCCCACATGATCCCAAACAGATCCCATGTGCTCCCACGTGATCCCACTCAATTCCCGCCACGTGATCCCACACAGATCCCACATGATCCCACACAGATCCCAGGTGATCCCACATAGATCCCACGTGATCCCCCCCCCCATCCCACACATGATCCCACATAGATCCCATGTGATCCCACACACGGATCCCACACGATCCCACACAGATCCCAGGTGATCCCACATGATCCCACACACATGATCCCACACAGATCCCACATGATCCCCCCCATCCCACATGATTCCCCCCACATGATCCCACGTGATCCCACGATTCCCCCCCCCATGATCCCACACGGATCCCACATGATCCCACATGATCCCACATGATCCCACACATGGTCCCACACAGATCCCATGTGATCCCCCCCTCCCCCCACATGATCCCCCCCACATGATCCCACACACGGATCCCACATGATCCCCCCCCCCCCACGACCCCCCCCAATCCCCCCCCACGTGACCCCCCCCGATCCCACGTGATCCGGTACCCGGGGCAGGCCGAGGCCGAGGCTCAGGACCGGGATCAGGACCGGGATCAGGATCGGGCCCAGGGCGGGGCCGGGGGGCGGGGCCATGGCTCCGGCTCCAGCTCCCGCCTGACGCCGCCGCGGGCCCTTTAAGGACCTGGGGGGGGGGGGGGGGGGGGGGTATCCGGTCCCCCCCCCTCCCCCCACGCCCGGGCACCACAGGGAGGGGGGAGGGGGAGGGGGAGGGGGGGGAGGGGTGGGGGTTTCCCCGCCCCCGCTTCCGGGCGTTGGAACGGCCCCGACGGGGGGAGGGGGGGTCCCCTGCCGGGGGGGGAGGGGTGATGGGGGCTATGGGGGGGCTATGGGGCGGGACGGGGGGCGATGGGGTGTCCAATGATGGGCTAT